TACACTTTCAGGTCTCAGTTCATTACTGCAGGGAGAGTGTGACAAGGCAGAGAGACCTATGTCATGACAGCCAGAGAGCAGAAAGAGAAGACCTGCACTTGTGGGCGTCTCCCTTTATTCTCTGTGTAGCCCTGGCTGTCCCGGAACTCATTCTATAGACCAGGCTGGGCCTCCAGAGTGCTGGGATTAAAGGTGTGTGCCACCACCACTTGCATGCAGTGCCTGCATAGGCCAGAAAAAGGTGCCAGATACCTTGAAAACTAGAGTCACAGATGGTTCTTGTGGGTGAAGGGAATTGAACCTGAGTCCTCCTCTGCAAGAACAGCAAGTGTCCTTAATTCCTGAGCCATTTCTCCAACCCCATACTTCCCCCTTTCCCCACCCATTGCCAGCCCATGGATGATGCCACTTACACTGGGGATGAGTCGTTTCCTGCCATCCCTCTAGTCAAGTCTTGTTTGGAAATGTCCTTCACAGATACATCGAGGGTGTGCTCCACTTACCTGCCAGGTGCTTGACACAATCAAACTGAAAGTCACGAGTAGCCATTAGCACCCAGCCACTCTAAAACACTACTCAATTCTTCTACAAACACAATGAGCACCATCCACAACACAAACTGCACAGACAGCAATGGATGACGGACATCAGAAGGGAAAAATACACTGCACAAGTCCACTTAGATAGCTTCAAAGATAAAACTAAGCTCGGGGGGGGGGGTGGGGGGGGGCAGCCCTCAGAATCATGGCTGCTTTGAAGCTATGAGAGGAGGCATGAGGAACTGTCCACAGCGGCATGGTGACTGTTCTGTTTCTAGACTCGGTGGCCGTTACACGGGCTTCTTGGTCAAGTTATTCACTTAAGATTTACACACATGACTGCACATGTTCCTTAAAGAAAACACACAGACCCACAGGAACAGAAGAGCCAGGTACAGCATCTTTGTGCACGTTTCCCCCCTGTGTGATATGAAGCATATAATAATGAAGAAAATACATTTAAATCCTTTTAAATGTGCATTCTGTATACCTCGAAATTAAAGCTGAGTTACCACTGTCACTTTAGAAAGGCAGGTCACAGAACAGGCAGCCTATACATCAGTGTGAAAGTCATGGCCCGTGAAAGCTGAAATCTCTTCGGAGACAGCAGCAGAAGATGCAGCAGAGACACAGGGAAAGGACTTCTCGCTCCTTGCGGCTATCCGCTGCTAGGATTTTTAACTAGTCTTTAGATCAGTGCTAACATGCCAGTGCGATGATTTCCAGGGAGGAAGTTAAGCCATTCTTGGTAAGGCTAAGTGTTCCCATTGACCTCTAACCCATGTCCCTTTCTTGACCTCTACAGACAACAGCTGCTGACCACTCAGCCTGATGAGTTCTTATTTATTCCTCAATGCACCATTTCGTAGGTTGTTTATTTTACACATGTACCCTCTCTTGCCGCGTCTTGTGCTAAAGGTGAAAAACTACTGTTTACACAGCTCTTCTAAGGGAGGCCTTAGCCTTCCCCCTCCCTCTTCCTGCCTCCCTCTTTCATCCTTTCCCCTGCCCTTCCACCCTAATTCCTTCCCTTTCTCTTTTCTCTCCCTCCCCTCCCCTCCTTTTCCTTCCATTTTTTCCCTCTTTCTTTGCTGTCTTAAATGGGAATAACTGACACACCACTTATTTAATTTCCACTTTCTAAGCTAAAAACGCTCTGGGACTCTCATGCCCTATCTTCATCCCAGGAAGCACAGGACAGGACAGTTGGTGATCTCCCCATTTGTCAATGTAGAAAGCAGAGGCCACAGCCCTGCTGAGCATGATTCCTGCCTGTGGCGCCCATTTTGTCCAGGACCAGGGTCAAGACACACACACACACACATACACACACATACACACACACACACACACACACGCTTTCATCTGTCTTGGCTGCTGACATGGTCTCCACACTAGTGTGTGTGTGCATGCTAGAAGAGTCAGCTAGGTGAATTTAGATCCTGGGTGGTCCTTTTGTCCTTAGTGATGGAGCTGGGAGAGATATTTCCTCCAAGGTTAGCCTGTGAAGGTATCATGACCTCCTGGTTCGAATGCAGGCTCTCACTCACAGCTTTTCCTGAAGGGAGGGGCTCGCATGTCCTCCTCCCCCACTCCCATCTTCTACCTTCTTACACTCTTGAGCCCCTGAACAATTTTTTACTACTTATCCCGGTGACTTCTGAAGGCTATGTTGCTATAGCAACCCAGGCCCACTGACCTGTATAAAGAACCTGTTACCAGGAAAGGAACCCTTAGCTGTCTGTCTCCAGGGTCTATTTAAAAGAGAATACAATCGCTCCCCACAGAAGAGGCACCACAGGGCCATTTCAGAGCTTCTGCAGACAGTGAGGGCCTGACAGCAGCTGGTCCAAGTGCCCCAAATTAGGTTGAGGACAGACACCGTGGCATGCTCAGGCACGCCTGGGATGGTACAACCACCAGGGGATGATCCTCTCAGCCCTCACAGCTGCTTCCTTCTTTCTGTATCTGCCTTGGCTGTCTCTCCCTCCACCCACACCTCTCTCTTCCATGGGCCCAGGCTGCAAATAGCCATGTCCTTGTCCTTTACTCTCTGTACAGTTGCCGCTTTCTTCTTGTGGCCAACGGGACCTTTGGAAAAGTCAAGTCCTCTATCGCCTGCCCATAAGGCCATCCTCCCCTGGCAGCTTCTGCCTGGCAGCCAGAGGCCACCTGACACCTGGCTGTCTCTCACCCTCTCTCCTACCTTGGCCTTTCTATGCCTGTTCATCCTGGGTCCTTTCTGCTCCTTTTGGACACAGGTTCTACCTTCTACAACAGCCCATCCTTCCCAGTTCCTCACCATCCCTGCTGGTACTCTGTCCACGCACTCTCAGTGCGTATGCGGTGTATGCGGTTGCCCTTTTGGGAGATCTTTGCTCATCTCCCTCTCCAGAATAAAGACAAAGGTGCCTGTCTCTTATTTGGGGCTGCTATCTCTCCCCTAGAGTTACAATTAGCAGTTAAGTCAGCTCTTAGTAACCTACATTTTGTGTGTAGATGAAGATGCCCAGAGTGTGTTCCATTGTACCTCAAGAGTTACATATCCCCACAACCCTCCATTCCCATGGCTGTACCCTTCCCCGTTTCTTTCCACCACCCCAGTCACAGGTGCCAAGAACATGGAGAGCACAGCCTTCAGGCATGTCATATCTGAGCCAACACGGCCAGGAATGCAGATGATCCATAGCCAGAAAAAGGGCTGGTCCTAGGCTTCCTGAGATGCATCTGTGCGAGCAGGCATCCTTGTGTCAGCAATTAGGATTCTACTCTGTCTCACTCCTGCTGCCTGTACTTCACACACAACATCTCTCTTTGGCCTTTAAATTAGAGGACAGGGTAATTCCTTTGTCTCCTATCATAAGAGCTGAAGATGCAGGGCTACCCTCTGCCTACAACAGCTTCTGGAATGAAGTTCCCACCCAACCTCTAGGACACTCTGCAGGGAAGCCATGACTTAGTCCTCATCCTGTCAGGGCCAAAGGAAACTCTATTTCCCCAAATTCTAGAAGGCAAAGGGGACAACTGGCTATCAGTGGTGTCTATGAGCACACCAAAGCGCACGCTGGCCCCCAGTCTCTCTGGGCGTCACAGTACCTGCTACACATTTCCCATTTCCGAGTCCATTCTAGCCCTTCCGACCTCCTCCCCTATCCTAAACTTCCCCAGCTACTCATGGCCCTTACAACCCTGCTATTCTGACTACGCTCTCTTTGTCTTCTTCCCTCCCAGTCTCCCTCCTCCCCATCTGTGATCTCCCACACTCCTCCTCTCTATAGCCCCACCCTGCTCTGTTCCTGCTTTTTTCATAGCCAGGCTAGTACTTTCAGGCTACTAGGCTCAGGCTGCTACTTCCTCTGTCTTTTCTGGAGTCTTCCAGATTCCTCTGGCTGTTCTCTCCCTCACATCTACAATAAAAACCTTTCCCTTCACCATACCACGGAGCAGTCAGTTTATACACATATCACACTGGCTTCTGCTTTTTCTCTCCCTGGACCCCGTGCTTGCCCCCACAGCACTACTGACATTATAAATATAATTTCCATGGCAACATGACAGTGCTAGGCCAGGCAGACACCTTTGGGGGCCTGCGCCCTCAAAGTATTTTCTTTTACTTTCAGCAAAATCTTTAAGGTGCAACTGAGCATGACTAGAGGCATTTTAAAACAACCTTCGCAGGAACTAGATAAATGGCTCAGCAGTTAAGAGCACTGGCTGCTCTTGCAGAGGACTTGTGTTCAGTTCTCAGTACATGCAATGATGCCCATCCATAACTCCAGTTTCAGGGGATGTCATGCCCTCTTCTGACCTCTGAAAGGTACTGCATAATGTGGTACACGTACAAGCAAGCAAAATGCTCATACATATTAAAAACAAAAATCCTTTTACACATTTTCTAAAATTATGATTTTAAGCATAGCATGTTCAGGAACAGGCCTTAGTATGTGGCTATCTGCATGTATCTGCATAGGTTCCCTGGATAAAGTCCCCATGCTTGCTTTGTTCACAGAGAAATGACCCCACACTCTCCTTGCCTGCTTCGGATAGCAAACTCTTGCCACTCTTTCACACCTTGGTTACGATTATTTTGCCTTACATTCACCAAGATGCAAACCTGTTACATTTGTTCATAAGCACACATGGGAGGCAGGCAGCAGCTGGCTACTGTCCATTCTTCCCCCAGCCCAGTGCTGGCTGCTGGTGTGCTTTCCAAGAGAAAGGACTACTAAGACTTGACCACCTGTTCTGAGGACTGGGCTCCACCAGTCAGGGATGTGGCCCATGCTGGATGAGGGGTGTAGCCCATGAGAGCCAGGTCTGGGTATCTCCAGAGCTTCTGCAGCCTCTGAGGCCTTCTGACTTTCAGGAGAGAAAGTGTTCATGTCAGAGCTGAAACCTTGGGTATGTGTGGGCTCCCCCCCAGCTTGGGGACACCATGGGTTCTGTGGGTTCAGGACTTACCAGAGCTTGCTCTATGAGGAGACAGAACAGGATGGCGTTGCCCACCTCTCTTAGGCTCTGGAACACGTCCGTCTTGAGCTCTGCGTACTCAATGATGTCCTTCAGTTGATGGTGAAAGAACTCCAGGATCCCTGAGAGCCACAAGGGGAGGTCACTGTGACATGGGCACTGTTCAGCCAGGTTGTGGGCTGTGTCAGCCAAGCCACCGCTCTAGACTTAGGAACTCTCTGCATGCCAGCTTAAGGTTGGGATCCCATGCAAAGGTCAATATTAGACAAAGCTCAGGAGGCTGGCACAAAATATCTGGAGCAAAATAAATACATCTGTAGTCTCAAGGAGAACAGCTGTGGCCTATCTGTCCCTCCAAAAGGGACTTGAACTCCTGACACAAGATTATTATTTATAGGCATTATCTACTGAGTTATATCTATCTATCTATGCTATCCTTTTATTACTCATAATATCAGCTAGGCACTATGATCCTTTTTCACATGAGGTTCAGATTGGGCAAGTGACACACCCATAGGCACACAGCAAGGAAGTGTGCAGCTAGGCAGGCATGGACACCAGAGCCTATAGTCTCATCCTTTTCCTGTTCTCAATCACACTCACGTGGAAAATTGTGTCTTAGCTTTTGGAAACTGAAGATACAAGGTATCACATTTATAGCTTCTTCTGTCTTTCTCCATACTGAGTGGTTAAAAAACAAAACAAAACAAACAAACAAAAAAAACAAAACCCATTTCCAGCCTCAGTTTATCTATGTCACATGGCACCCCACTTGGAGTACCAACTGCCTGTAAATAGGCAGATGGGAAGGCCTGCTCCAGGTGCTGAGGACCATACATGTAAACCTCCTCTTCGCTGTTTAAATGCTCTCACACTCGCAGTGCAACTGCATCTGGCCAGCAGCCCAGTGGGCATCCTCACAGGACCATTCACCACCCTGACAGAGGACGACACCACTGCTTGTGGGGTTGAGACAGGTCGAAGGCTATCCAGTCAGTGGTGGTCAGAGCCAGGGATGTCATCTGGCTGGCAACTTAGAGACTGAAATCTCCTGAGGTGGAGGCGGGAGCCCTGCCCTGCCCTGCCCTGGGTGTGCATTGCCTCCCTGTCACTCACCTGGGGAGCCATACTCGTGCCGAGGCAAACGGCATATTTTTGGCATCACCTCTATCAGCGTCTTCACATACTGCAGAATGGTGCCTTGGAGCTGCAAAATGAGTGAGCTGGCGTGAGTTAGCCCACTGTTACAGTCTATAACTCTGTGCCAAATGCAGGGCCTCAGTGGGATATTGGAGTTCTGGTGAGACTTGTGAACAAAGCATTTAAAAGCGGGCGGGGTGTGTGTGTGTGTGTGTGTGTGTGTGTGTGTGTGTGTGTGTGTGTGTGTGTGTGTGTGTGTGTGTGTGTGTGTATTGGGGCTGGCAAGATAGCTCAGTGGTTAAGAACACTGGCTGCTTTTCCTAAGGACCTGGGTTCAAGCCCCAGCACCCACATGGCAGTTCACAACTGTCTGTAACTCTCATTCTAGGGGATCTGACACCCTCATATGAACACACATGCTAGCAAAACACCAGTGTATATAAAGTAAGAATAAATAAATAATTTTAAAAACATTTAAAAAGAGGGGGACATCACCCTTGTCATTTATAGACAGAAAAGATGTTTTGAGGGATATATGGTATCCAAGAATGGGTTTTTTCAGGGTTGGGAATGCTTATGATATGGGGGCTGAATGAAACGCAGACAGGGAACTGTGGAGATTAATGCATGTAATCTAATTTAAGCAGGGAAAATGCATAGCACATTCCTCCATGTGTCCGAGGCAAGACATCTTTAATCCATTACTGCATTTGTCTGCTCTCCTCTGGACTTGGCATGGCAGCCCTTAATGACCCATGGCTTCTCATGGCTGCTCCTAAAGAACGAGATCGAGCAAGAGAATTTGGCTTATTCCTTACATGGTTGGTTCTAAATTATTTCTCTCCAGGAACTCAAGATTTCCAGAGAAATCTTGTTCCCATATTTTGGCCCTGCTTCTGCATCACTACAGGGAATTAAATGAAGCTTCCTCCAACCATACTTGGGATATTCACAGAAAGCTGGTAATGGGGTATAGAAGTCCCTGTAACACTAGTAGCAGTGGTCAGCAAGAAACCCCAGGGCACAAAGTGTGACAACTGATTAGAGATGTCTGCCATGGTCATGAGAATTAAAAAAAAAAGGGGGGGGTCAGCATATGAGCTGTGGATTTGCTATGCTCAAGTCTTTTGTTGTTGTTTTCATTTTTTGCTTTTAAAGGGCCTCATGTAGTCCAAGCTGGCCTTGAACTTACTATGTAGCTGCGGATGATCTTGGACCTCTGTTTTCCCTACCTCTACCTCCCAGATGCTGGGATTTTACAGATTGGTACTACCACAACAGCCAGATTTATAATGGAGAATGAGCACCAGGGACTGAACGAAGGACCTTGTACATATCAGGCAAGAACTGTACCAACTGAGCTACACACCCAGCCAATCATGCTAAATTAGTTAATGAAGAACATAGTTGGGCAGATTGAGTTGTGACCTGGCTTTGAATGTCAAAATCAGGGTTTCTCAATTTAGTTAGTGGAAACAATGAGTGAATTCTGAGCCCCAAATGGGAGGCAAAGGTACAGGTCAAGGTCTATGTAGGGTCAGAGAGACAGCCAGTGGTGAAGAACACTTGCTACTCTGGCTGAGGACCCGGGTTTGGTTCCCAGCACCAGTATCATGTGGCTCATAACTGCTTGGAACTCCAGTTCCAGGTGATCCATCACCCTCTTCTGGTATTTGTGGGTACTGCATACACAGGATGCACATATAGATAAGCGGGTGCATACAGATATAAATAAAAATAAAAGTTATATAAAAAGATATAAAGAAATGCACCAGAAGGTGTATAGAAACTACCAGGAAATAAGGACCAAGGACTCCCAGGGTGACATCAAGTGGCAGAGCTGGTACACCTGGGTTTGGTTTTCCGATTAGAAAAACCAGTCCTGTGAACAGCTACTGCAGCTGGGAGCAGCCCCAGCAGCATCCTTACCAGGCTCTTGACGATTTTCAGCAGCTCCTCCATGACCACGGCAATGCCCTGGTAGCCCAGCAGTCTGCACATGGTCTTGAAGTGAGGAGGGCCCACGAAGTTCCTGTACGAGCTATAGATGTGACTGTAGGCAATGTTGAGAGGCTGGAAACAAATTGAGGGGAAGCGGGTGAGGAACTCCTACATGGAAATAGGAGAGGGGTATCCTAGCAGGTATTTTGCTGATAGAAGAAATAGGATCTTGCTACCCAGGGTTCCTTCATTGGTCCTGGAGTGAGATGTGGCCAATGATTCGTGATGGAGCAAGTGTCACTAGGCCAGAGAAGCTGCTTCCCAGTGGGAGAGGTGTAAGAGCTCCAAGGTCAAAATCAAGAACACAGGGAAACCTGCCACCTGTAACTGTCCACAGACAAATTGAGTTGTGCTCTGGGATAGAGTGGCTGCCTTTCTCCTGGAGGTGGTTTTGTATCTGGAGATTAGATGTCAGCTGACAGGCCACCATCTTCTGCTCTTGGCTGTTTCCATCTATGATATGAGGGGGTTTTGGAATGGCTAGTCCTGGGAGTTGGGAGATTTATATCTGAGAGCCCGGCAAGATCAGCAAGCTTTTTGAGCCTTCATTTCCCACTCTCTGTGAACGATAGGTACTGGATTAAGTTAGTCGTGTCAAAACAGCAGTCCAACACAGGAAAGATGTCACAGGTGCTCACATGCAAAATATACATAGTAGAGCTGCTGGGCTGGGTACTTCAGGAGACCTCAGAGCTCTGGCCTTGGGCCCCATCATCCTATGGACCCTGAGGGGTACTCTAACTGAATGAGGCAGAGCTTAACAGACCTTTCTGAACTGGGTGTGGTGGTGCACATCTATAATCCTGTTACTTAGGTAGTTGAGGCTGGAGAATTGTGACTTCAAGACCAGCCTGGACTACACAGTGAAATCCTGTTTGCCTAGCATGAACGAGGCTCTGGGTTATATTCACGGTATGGTTGGTGGTGAAGACGTTGGTGACACCTGTCTGCCTGAGAATGCATGATCCACGTCAGAGCCTAGATTGGTGTCTATGAAAGGCTGCTACACAGCAACCACTCATGCCATGCTCTGTTGGGCTTCCCTGGGCATTTTCATTCAACACACACAACAAATGATTGTGATTTGTAACCATCTTAAGTCCCATTTCACAGATGAGGCAATAAGGCCCTGGGTAGCCAGACGTTTGCTCAAGGTCACAGAGTTCCTCAGTGAGTAACCACTGTTCTAAAGCAGGTATGGCTGATTTTAACATCTCCGCTCTTACCTCTCCCTCTATTTTAGGAGTTGAAATCTACCTGTGATAATGAGTTTCTTAGCTAAGCTTCACCTTCTTTCTGGGCATGCTTTTCTTACCTGGTATTAAAATCGTGTGTGATATGAGAAGGCTGCACCTGATTACTCTATTAGCTGATTAGTTAGAAATTCCACCAGTCTGATGTACATGGAGGCTTGCAAGACTCTCCACTCCCTCCTGAGTCATCAGGGGAAATTTAATTGGGTAAAGTTTGCGTTCTGAGTTTAGTATGTTTGGTCGTACACAAATTATCCTAACCTTCACGAAATGAGCATCACAGTTTGAGTATGCTCCCACAGTAAAGATACGTGAAGAACAATTAGAGTTCCTATCAGTAACTGAGATGCACGCTAAACCAGGACACTGTTAACTCACCAACTGAGTGTGTCTAGTGAGCTGACACCTGCACACAGGAAGGCATGAAGCGTGAGAAAGAACAGGATTCTACACCGAGTTGCTGGAGCTGTTAGAGTAAGCTGCCTAAACCTAGGGGAAGGCATAGCCTATGTCTTTTTTTTAATGTATGGGGTGGCTTATGTAGGGAGGGAAATACAGCTGACTTCTGGTTATGATGTCCACTAATGTCGATTTTTGACTCCTGTAAGTGTGTAAACTGTGACTGCATGTATATTTTAAATATGCATACTAAACCTATCTCAGTGCCTCTGCAACAGGCAGCATTCTCAACTGAGAATGTTGAAAGGGCTGCGAGGTTCATGTTAAAGCATTCTTCTGTATTCTTTTGTCTCCTTCAGGGGCTAAACAGACCTGACTGGAAAGGGGCACAGACAGTTCAAGCAAGGTGGGAAGGCTCCACACCTTGCCTGGATTTTGGACATAGTTGTAAAGATTCACGAAACCATGATCTGTGGAAGGATGGACGTGCTGCTGTGTCCCTCTCAGATCACACACAGAGATCCTAACACCCCATGAAGAACTGAGGATGTTGGTGGGTTAGAGTCCTAATGAATGGAGCTTAGTGCCTCCATGAGAAGAGGCAGGCAAGCTTCTTCCCTCTCCCTGCCATATACCAGGATGCCTGTTTGCAGGCAAGACCTGGATCTGCCAGCACCCTATTCCATGATCTTGAACTTGGATGTTCTAGCCTCAAGAGCTTTAAGCAATAAGAACTTGTTATTTCAGTCACCCAGCCTATGGTGTTCTTGCTATTGCAGCCCAAACAAAGCAAGCACATTTTACTTACATCCCAATATAAAAGTAATTTTAAAAAACCCACTTTTCATATCATAGCCTAACTTACTTGTTATTTTTCAAAGTTGCAGAATGATGCTTTAAATTTTCTCTTGCAGCCTTAGCACACCAGGAGACACTAGAGGACAAAGCTTTGGCATTGCTCATGGCTAGGAAGACATGTGACACAGTTCTTGACTGGTTCCCATAGCCCCCTCATTCCCACTCATATCAGGGACTCAGGCTTTTCCTGTAATTCCGGGGAAGGAATTTCTGCTCTGCACAGCAGGATATGAATATGGGTGATGGTGGCAGTGGTGGCAGCAGTCAGCTAATTGTCTTTTCTGAGTTTCTGTTTTTATGCTTTGAGACTACACGATGAGCTCTAGGCTAAACACAGCTACAGTGGGTTCAAATCCCAGGATCCTATTTTGTTTATTGTTTATTATTACTTTTTTTGAGACAGAATCTTGTTATGTACCTCTGGCTTGTCTGATATTCACTATGAAACCGAGGTTGGCTTTGAAGTTACACATATTCTCCTGCAGAACCCAATTTACTAGTTGGAAGTACTTGGGAAAAATCACATAAAATCCTTGGATTCCCCTAGGAAGATGGTACTTGAAGTTTGATGGGTAAAATATGTAAAGCTGTGAGCATGATGCCGGGCCCCAGAGGCCCTGTAGAAGCACTCATTAATCTTATTTTGGCTGATGAACAGTAAGAAAGTAATGTCTTGCTCAATCCCTACTCCCCAGAAACAAAGGCTACCATAGTGATTCCCTCTATATGGATATGTTCAATACACGAGAACTAATTTATACCCACAAGGAGACATGACAGAAATCAGATCTGGAAGCAGCTGATAAAACAGATTGTGTTCATCATCAAAACACCACAGAAGTAAGTACTGTCCAGGAAAGAGCCTGGAATAGAGGCACCCTGCATTCTCTTCCAAAGTGCAATCCCCACTGCTTTCTTGATGGGTGCTGGTCCATTTCAGCAGTCTCTCAAGCCTGACTCCTCCCCCAAGGACCTCCCAGTGTCAAGCACCTCCTAGCAGCACAAAAAACATTTTCAGGTATCTGAAGACTGTTCAGCAGGCTGTCCTAGTTTTAGGCAGAGGGGAAACACTTTGGAATTATTTTACCACACACAGGTTAAAAATTCCCCCCTCCAAATCCACTTGGTACACTTAGGAGGTCTTTGGTGCCGCTCCTCTGTCAGTGTAGACGGGGAGTTTAGGACTCAGCAGAACCAACATGAAATTTGCAGACTCCCACTTCACCTCCTAAGTGAACAAGCTCCCTGCCCCATCCCCCAAATCTACCACATGCATGCAACAGGAAACACACGCATGCAGAAAAAGACACGAACACACACACACGCACACCCCAGGGTACCCTTCTGACCTGCTGGCTCAGCAGGAGGCTGGGCCCTATTGAGAAAATGTGAGAATAGGGGAGCCTGGGCATTTTCTGAGGTTCAGCAAAGAAAAATAGGAATGCATTGTGACTTAGGGATATTGGACATTTGCACTCATCTCTCACACCAAACCATCTCCACTCACTGACTCAGGTTACAACTGCTGTCTGATGGGAAACTAATTAGATTCCATGTAGCCCATGTGAAATCAAAATTTGTTCAAACCTAGATGACACAAAGTAGATAAACAAGAAATAAACCAGCCCAACTCAGGACTTATTACTAGGCAGCCCAGGTTGCAGTTTCTGAAAAAGTAAATGGCATTTTTCTTTACATTTAACTTTATGTATTATCATTGTATGTGCATGATGCACAAGCACATGCCACAGTGAGTGTGTGGAGGAGGTCAGAGGACAACTTCCATGAGCCAGTTTTGAACTTAGGTCATTAGGTTTACACAGCAGGAGCTTTCTTTCACACACTAGGTCATCTCACTGGCTCACAAACAAGACTTTAAGAAGAGAGAAAAAAGATGAGTTTGGTCTGATGGACATCCTTAATTATCACTAGCAGCCAACATCTAAAAAACAACAAAACCAAAACTGTGAGGAAAATATACCCAATGTTAGTTATCATTGCACCAGGTGAGATGGCTCAAGCCTGTGACCCCAGTGCTCGTGAAGTAAGAGCAGGGCCATCTGAAGTGTAAGGCCAGCCCAGTGGCCCCCCCTCAACTCCAAACTAAATCAAACCCAAGCAAATCTAACACTGGTGATCTGCACCATTTTAAAGGGTAGTATATATGGACTTTTAATCTTGAAACCATCTCTTGCCAGGTGGTGAGCACAGCCAGCCACGCCAAACAATGAGTTCTATTTATTCAGCTAACCCAATTTGTAAGAACTTTGCATCTCTGAGCTCTGGAATCACAATTACTGTTTCAGAGATTTCCCAAGAGGAATTAAAACCCATCCTAACTTCCTGTTTGTGTTACAGCTTCACTTAACAAACATGGGCCTCTGATTGAGGCTGGTGAGCTAGTCAACTGTAGTTCAGCTTTCTAAAACCACTGTAGGTCAGTATTGACAGGATGTTATGAGTAAAGCACCCACCATTGATAAGGCAGTTCACAGGACAGATCCAGCCAGTTGCAGGTTCAGATCCATTGCTAGAGCTGAGGCAAAAGTGCTAATGTGTCTG